ATCGGCCAGGCACGAGGCCCTGGTGGGTATCTCCTCTTCCACCTGACGTTTTGGACGTACAGGAACACTGCAAGCAGTGTCAAAACAACGACAAGGAGCGATTCCATAGCCATGTCTCTCACTGTTCAACAAGGTTAAAAGATGGTCCAATGACTGATAAGCTACAGGGCGTTGCAGGTTGTAATTTCAATTGTTGTGTGTTGTGACCGATCACAATTAAGAGCTCCAATGTGCATTCTGATCCGTAGCCTATTCATTCCATGGCCTAAGGGGGAAATTCTCACCACTTTTCAGGAGACGAGCTTTGGTCACTTTGTTCGTCACCTTTCGTCTGTTTTAATACCTCAATGTCACTGATATTCTATTAATCAAAATCTATGTATTTTCGTGCCATCAGATTTTCTTATCCATAACAACCATTAATTGCCCCGTTTCAGACACGTACGGTTCTTCCATGCGCGAAGGACAGATGTGGTTAGGCCTCAGGCTTTATCCCGGTGATCATATGATTAGGCCACCAGTAGCTGGTCTGATCAGCCTCAACTAGACACCCTTTTATATACGTTTCCTGATTCTTAACGCTATTTCCACCCTCATACCTCTATACAGATTTCTCTCTGTTACATCCAACCAACCAAACACAGACTACGAGTACATACCTCGCTAGAAGGCGAGTACATGCCGTGTTTTAGCTCTGTGACCTTGTGTCAAGTTTCTTTGTGGTATGTTCATGTGGTTAGGATAACAAGCACGACTACAATAGGGAGGTCGTTCTACTCGCATTTCTGCGATATGGGGGTTTAGTATTTGCCATTATCATATCTGCATAGGGATCTAGTATATGATACTATCATATCTGCATAAATACATGCTAGTAGCGTGCCTGTCTTTCAAGGCTGTCAAGTAGGACTTGACATTTTAAAAAACTAGTGGCAAGATTTCCAACATGTTTATGAAATTTGACTGCATTGTCATCTGACAAATTCTACAAAGTTTGCCACTCGGTTGGGTTAAGGCGCTCAAGGCTTGTATGAAATTAGTATTCTATACAAATACTTGTAACTTTCGATAACTTGGCCGTACCTGGACTGATATTTCCACAGTCTGGGAAGCTTAAGCACGTGTATAGCATAGAATACCAATACCAGGCATAATAACATTGCAGACTATAGTCACTGTGGTTTATGCTAGTTTCTTCACTTCACTGAGGTGAAAATGAGTACCTAGCTTCGGTTAGTGGTGTATAGGAGGTTAAATGGAGGCCCTGTGTTTGGGTACAGACACACCCCACGCACGTTTAAGAACCCACCACACCTTTCGAAAAAGAGTAGCGGCATGCCCCGGTGTGCGATGTTGCAAATGCTACTGTGTGGAAGTTGGTAATTCATTGCACAAGCAAAGCTAATATAGAACAGCCATGATACCATACTTCACCTCTAACGAGGATGACTGA